GACTCAACGGGCACCACATGACGTCACGACTTGCGCACGGAGAGTTCGGTGCGCGGGCCCGTCAAGCGTCCGGTCGGCCAAGCCGCGGGCTGCGGGGGGGCGCGGCAGGAGTCCAACGTCGTCGTGACGCGGAACGAGCGCCGTTGTGACGCGGAACGAGCGTCGTCATGACGTGTAACGAGCGTCGTCATGACGTGTAACGAGCGTCGTTATGACGTGTAACGAGCGTCGTTATGACGTGTAACGAGCGTCGTTATGACGTGTAACGAGCGTCGTTATGACGCGGAACGAGCGCCGTCGTGACGCGGAACGAGCGTCGTTATGACGCGGAACGAGCGTCGTTATGACGCGTAACGAGCGTCGTTATGACGTGTAACGAGCGTCGTTATGACGTGTAACGAGCGTCGTCATGACGTGTAACGAGCGTCGTCGTGACGTGTAACGAGCGTCGTTGTGACGTGTAACGAGCGTCGTTATGACGCGTAACGAGCGTCGTTATGACGCGGAACGAGCGTCGTTATGACGTGTAACGAGCGTCGTTATGATGCGTAACGAGCGTCGTTATGACGCGTAACGAGCGTCGTTATGACGCGGAACGAGCGTCGTTATGACGTGTAACGAGCGTCGTTATGACGTGTAACGAGCGTCGTTATGGCGCGGAACGAGCGTCGTCATGACGTGTAACGAGCGTCGTTATGACGTGTAACGAGCGTCGTTATGACGTGTAACGAGCGTCGTTATGGCGCGGAACGAGCGTCGTTATGACGTGTAACGAGCGTCGTTATGACGTGTAACGAGCGTCGTTATGACGTGTAACGAGCGTCGTTATGGCGCGGAACGAGCGTCGTTATGACGTGTAACGAGCGTCATTATGACGTGTAACGAGCGTCGTCATGACGTGGAACGAGCGTCGTTATGACGCGGAACGAGCGTCGTCATGACGTGTAACGAGCGTCGTCATGACGTGTAACGAGCGTCGTTATGACGTGTAATGAGCGTCGTCATGACGTGTAACGAGCGTCGTTATGACGTGTAACGAGCGTCGTTATGACGTGTAACGGGCGTCGTTATGACGTGTAACGAGCGTCGTTATGACGTGTAACGAGCGTCGTTATGACGTGTAACGAGCGTCGTCATGACGCGTAACGAGCGTCGTCATGACGTGTAACGAGCGTCGTTATCACGTGTAATGAGCGTCGTCATGACGTGTAACGAGCGTCGTTATGACGTGTAACGAGCGTCGTTATGACGCGGAACGAGCGTCGTTATGACGTGTAACGAGCGTCGTTATCACGTGTAATGAGCGTCGTCATGACGTGTAACGAGCGTCGTTATGACGCGGAACGAGCGTCGTTATGACGTGTAACGAGCGTCGTTATCACGTGTAACGAGCGTCGTCATGACGTGTAACGAGCGTCGTCATGACGTGTAACGAGCGCCGTTATGACGCGTAACGAGCGTCGTCATGACGCGGAACGAGCGTCGTTATGACGTGTAATGAGCGTCGTAATGACGTGTAACGAGCGTCGTTATGACGTGTAACGAGCGTCGTTGTGACGCGGAACGAGCGTCGTCATGACGTGTAACGAGCGTCGTTATGACGTGTAACGAGCGTCATCATGACGTGTAACGAGCGTCGTTATGACGTGTAACAAGCGTCGTTATGACGTGTAACGAGCGTCATCATGACGTGTAACGAGCGTCGTCATGACGTGTAACGAGCGTCGTTATGACGTGTAACGAGCGTCATCATGACGTGTAACGAGCGTCGTTATGACGTGTAACGAGCGTCGTTATGACGTGTAACGAGCGTCATCATGACGTGTAACGAGCGTCGTTATGACGTGTAACGAGCGCCGTTATGACGTGTAACGAGCGCCGTCATGACGTGTAACGAGCGTCGTCATGACGTGTAACGAGCGTCGTCATGACGTGTAACGAGCGTCGTCATGACGTGTAACGAGCGTCGTCATGACGTGTAACGAGCGTCGTCATGACGTGTAACGAGCGTCGTTATGACGTGTAACGAGCGTCGTTATGACGCGTAACGAGCGTCGTTATGACGTGGAACGAGCGTCGTCATGACGTGTAACGAGCGCCATTATGACGTGTAACGAGCGTCGTCATGACGTGTAACGAGCGTCGTCATGACGTGTAACGAGCGTCGTTATGACGTGTAACGAGCGCCGTTATGACGTGTAACGAGCGTCGTCATGACGTGTAACGAGCGTCGTCATGACGTGTAACGAGCGTCGTCATGACGTGTAACGAGCGTCGTCATGACGTGTAACGAGCGTCGTTATGACGCGGGACGAGCGTCCTTATGACGTGTAACGAGCGTCGTCATGACGTGTAACGAGCGTCGTCATGACGTGTAACGAGCGTCGTCATGACGTGTAACGAGCGTCGTTATGACGCGGAACGAGCGTCGTCATGACGTGTAACGAGCGTCGTTATGACGTGTAACGAGCGTCGTTATGACGTGGCACGAGCGTCGTCATGACGCGTAATGAGTGTCGTTATGACGTGTAACGAGCGTCGTCGTTATGACGCGGAACACAAACGCCGCTGCAATGCGTGACGCGCGACCTTGGCCGAATTCAGTGAGCGAGCGACTTCTTTGCTCCGACTGGTTTTTAGTTTTGTACAAATTAAAAACGTCGACTTTGCGTTGTTGCCCCGCGGGGCCTATGTACAAGCAGGCAAACGGGATGAACAAATCAAACAACACGCGATCATCATCGACATCGCAACCACAAGCGGACAAAACACACACGCGCCTACACACGAAGACAAAGATCCCCCCGTGTAGCCTTCACGGACTTGTTGGGGCAAGTGCTGTTAGCGAGCAGCACCTATGAAGGCCGGCACGGCACACGAAGGGGGTGGGATGGCCAGCACCACGCCCGGCCGCCTTTGTCTCTCTAGCGGCGATGTTTACGCATCGCGTCAGGTACCAATTTGAGGCTGAGTCGACCTAGGGGAGTCCCAGGACCGGTTCAGATAATCGTCACCGGGTGTTGGCCGTGAGCGGGAATCGAACCCGGGTCGCCGGGTTCCTAGCGCGGCGTAGCGCTAACCGCTGCTACACCACCGCTCCCCACGCACGCACACACCTACACACACACCTAGACACACACCTACACACGCGCCTACACACACACACACACTGTTTATATGCCCTGGTACATGCGAGTCAAAAACACATTTTACCTAACATGTATGTATAGTCTACTTTTACTGTACAAACGGTCTCGTTCCTTTCCCCACGCCGCTCTCGTCTGCTTAAGGGCCGACGTGACGTGCGTCCACGTGTCTGCTGACGTTTCCCGGCACACCACAGCCAGGATAGACGCGTGGCTCACGACTCCCGTCTCCGCCAAACACTCCGGAACGCGCTCAGTGAGGAATTTAGCCTCGGTGTGAGACTTAGGGTACTCTGTGTGAGTCTATGGGTACTCTGTGTGTGAGGCTATGGGTCTATGTGTGAGTCTATGGGTACTCTGTGTGACTCTATGTGTCTACGTGTGAGTCTATGGGTCTCTTTGTGTGAGTCTATGGGTCTCTTTGTGTGAGTCTGTGGGTACTCTGTGTGAGTCTATGGGTACTCTGTGTGAGTCTATGGGTCTCTGTGTAAGTCTATGGGTACTCTGTGTGAGTCTATGGGTACTCTGTGTGAGTCTATGGGTCTCTGTGTGAGTCTATGGGTACTCTGTGTGAGTCTATGGGTACTCTGTGTGAGTCTATGGGTCTCTGTGTGAGTCTATGGGTACTCTGTGTGAGTCTATGGGTCTCTGTGTAAGTCTATGGGTACTCTGTGTGAGTCTATGGGTACTCTGTGTGAGTCTATGGGTCTCTGTGTGAGTTTATGGGTACTCTATGTGAGTCTATGGGTACTCTGTGTGAGTCTATGGGTCTCTGTGTGAGTCTTTGGGTACTCTGTGTGAGTCTATGTGTCTATGTGTGAGTCTATGGGTACTCTGTGTGAGTCTATGGGTCTCTTTGTGTGAGTCTATGGGTACTCTGTGTGAGTCTATGGGTACTCTGTGTGAGTCTATGGGTCTCTTTGTGTGAGTCTATGGGTACTCTGTGTGAGTCTATGGGTACTCTGTGTGAGTCTATGGGTCTCTGTGTGAGTCTATGGGTCTCTTTGTGTGAGTCTATGGGTACTCTGTGTGAGTCTATGGGTACTCTGTGTGAGTCTATGGGTCTCTGTGTGAGTCTATGGGTACTCTGTGTGAGTCTATGTGTCTATGTGTGAGTCTATGGGTCTCTTTGTGTGAGTCTATGGGTCTCTTTGTGTGAGTCTATGGGTACTCTGTGTGAGTCTATGGGTACTCTGTGTGAGTCTATGGGTCTCTGTGTGAGTCTATGGGTCTCTTTGTGTGAGTCTATGGGTACTCTGTGTGAGTCTATGGGTACTCTGTGTGAGTCTATGGGACTCTGTGTGAGTCTATGGGTAGTCTGTGTGAGTCTATGGGTACTCTGTGTGAGTCTATGGGGTACTCTGTGTGAGTCTATGTGTCTATGTGTGAGTCTATGGGGTACTCTGTGTGAGTCTATGGGTCTATGGGTAATCTGTGTGAGTCTGTGTGAGTCTATGTGTTCTCTGTACGAGTCTATGGGTACTCTGTGTGAGTCTATGGGTACTCTGTGTGAGTCTATGGGGTACTCTGTGTGAGTCTATGTGTCTATGTGTGAGTCTATGGGGTACTCTGTGTGAGTCTATGGATCTATGGGTAATCTGTGTGAGTCTGTGTGAGTCTACGTGTTCTCTGCACGAGTTTATGTTTTCTCCGTACAAGTGTTTTGTATACCAGTAGACTAATCACAGAGAGGCCCATAGCGACTCTCATAGAGATCCATAGCGACTCGCATAGAGACCCATAGAGACCCGCATAGAGACCCATAAAGGGGTGGGTGGGGTGGGTAAGGCAGGTGGGTGGGTGGGTGGGGGGGGGAGTGTACTGGGTGTAGGAGGGGGTGGGGAGAGTGGGTGAGGGTGTACTGGATGGAGGGGGTGGTTGGGGAGGGATGTGTAACTGGGTGGTGCTGCTGCTGCTGGTGGTGGTGCCGACGGTGGGTTTCGTGGACGCGGCTGTCCGCGTGGAGGAGGCGTTCACGAAGCGAAGTAAGAGTTCTGCATGGAGTACAGGCGGTCGATGGGGTTGCCCAGCCGGGCCTGCAGGGCGCTGCCGTCGGACGCCAGGAGGCAGTCCCCGTTGCTCACGAGGGCCCCGTTCGCGTCCAGGTTGTGGAACAGCGCCTCGTTGCCTGGGGGAGCGGGCAGGGGGAGTGGGGGGTGGGGGGTTGATGGATGAGGTCTCCTCCACGGCCACACAGCCATGCACCCCGCTCACCCCAGGGAGTCACGTGCTCCTCCCTCACCGTAGGGGTTCATGTGGTCCCCGGGCATCTGCGGGGGGGTGAGGCCCTGGCAGAAGGGGTCTGAAGCGAATCCGTTCTGCTCCAGAGGCAGCTGCTGCTGCTGCTGCTGCTGCAGGGGGCCGTAGTGAGAGATCAACCCGTCCAGACCTGCCCGGGACACCTCTGTGGTGGGGTGGGGGGAGGAGGAGGAGGAGGAGGGGGGGAGAGGGGGTGGAGGAGGAGGGGCGGAGGAGGAGGGGGTGGAGGATGGGAGGGGAGGGGATGGGGGGTGGAGGAGGAGGCGGTGGAGGAGGGGAGAGGGGAGGAGGAGGGTGGATGGAGTTGGAGGGGAGGGGGGAGGAAACGACACATTTTCTTTAAAATATATCCCGTTGTGATGTCATCGTCCGTCACATCACGACCCTGAATGGGGCCTCTGTGGACACTCTGTGGATCTTTGTTGGTCTCTGTGTGACTCTGTGGGTCTCTGTGTCAGTCTGTAAGTCTCTGTGTGAGTGTACCGGTCTCTATGTGAATCTGTAGGTCTCTGTGTAACTTTGCGGGTCTCTGTGTGAGTCTGTGGGTCTCTGTGTGAGTATGTGGGTCTCTGTGTGAGTCTGTGGGTCTCTGCGTGACTTTGTGAGTCTCTGTTTGAGTCTGTGGGTCTCTGTGTGACTCTGTGGGTCTCTGTGTGAGTCTGTGGGTCTCTGTGTGAGTCTGTGGGTCTCTGTGTGAGTTGGTGGGTCTATGCGTGACTCTGTGAGTCTCTGTTTGAGTCTGTGGGTCTCTGTGTGAGTCTGTAGGTCTCTGTGTGAGTGTACCGGTCTCTAAGTGACTCTGTAGGTCTCTGTGTGACTCTGTGGGTCTCTGTGTGAGTCTGTGGGTCTCTGTGTGAGTCTGTGGGTCTCTGTGTGAGTCTGTAGGTCTCTGCGTGACTCTGCGAGTCTCTGTGTGAGTCTGTGGGTCTCTGTGTGAGTCTGTGGGTCTCTGTGTGAGTCTGTAGGTGTCTGTGTTGAGTGTACCGGTCTCTATGTGACTCTGTAGGTCTCTGTGTGACTCTGTGGGTCTCTGTGTGAGTCTGTGGGTCTCTGCGTGACTCTGTGAGTCTCTGTGTGAGTCTGTGGGTCTCTGTGTGAGTCTGTGGGTCTCTGTGTGAGTCTGTGGGTCTCTGTGTGGGTCTGTGGGTCTCTGCGTGACTCTGTGAGTCTCTGTGTGAGTCTATGGGTCGCTGTGTGACACCTCCACCACCACCACCTCCACCAATACCTCTACTACCTCCACCACCACGACCAGCACCACCACCACCACGACCTCCACCACCACCACCTAAACTACCACCACCTCCACCACCACCTCCACGCCCTCAACTACCTCCACCACCACCCCAACCACCACCTCCACCACCACCTCCACCACCACCACCACCACCTCCACGACCTCAACTACCTACACCAACACTTCCACCACCTCCACCACCACCACCTCCACGACCTCAACTACCTCCACCACGACCACCACCACCACCACCACGACCTCCACTACCACCACCTCAACTACCACCACCTTCACCACCACCTCCACGACCTCAACTACCAACACCACCACCTCCACCACCACCACCACCACCACGACCTCAACTACCTCCACCACCATCTCCACCACCACCACCTCAACTACCTCCACCACCACCACCACGACCACCACCACCACCACCAGGCGGAGTGAACCAGTCCGCACCTTCGCCGTCGTCTTTGAGACGCCGCCCGCCCCTCCCGGGGCCCCGGCCGGGCCCCAGGCGCTGCATGCTCTGCTCCTGCTGCTGCTGACTCTGCCGGCGAGCCAACTTCTTCATCTGCGATGCCACGCGGGGAAGGGGGGGGGGAGGGGAGGTGGAGCACCACGGTGGCCGAGATGTTAACTACCTCGCCCGGTATACAGGGAGGTAGTGGGTTCGATCCCGACACTGATGCCTCTCTTACTTTCTCTCTCTCTCTCTCTCTCCCCTCTCTCTTCCTCTCGCTCTCTCTCTCTCTTTTTCTACGATCAGAGGAAACAAGAAGATGCTCCTCGGTGTAGTCGGCACTTTGCTTCGTTCATCATTTCGGGGTTTTTTTTCCATTGCTTTGCTTTATGTGCCCCCCCTCCCCCCCTCCTTTGTAAATGAAAGAATTCACGAAAGATTCCACGCTCTGCTCTCTCGCTCTCTCTCTCTCTCTCTCCCTCCCTCCCTCTCTCCTCCTCTACACCAGGGTGGTTCTCGTTTAAACCACGTGGCGCCACGTTGGCCGAGGTGTTAACTACCTCGCCTTGGTGTACAGGGAGGTCGTGGGTTCGATCCTGACCCTGGTGCATCTCTCACTTTCTTTCTGTTTCTCTCTCTCTCTCTCTTACTCCCTCCCTCTCCAGCCCGCTCTCCCTTTCTCTCGCTCTCTCTCTCTCTTACTATAACTCACTCACTCCCTCTCCAGCCCGCTCTCCCTTTCTCTCGCTCTCTCTCTTACTTTAACTCACTTACTCCCTCCCTCTCCAGCCCGCTCTCCCTTTCTCTCTCTCTCTTACTCCCTCCCTCTCTCGCCCGCTCTCCCTTTCTCTCTCTCTCTCTCTTACTTTAACTCACTTACTCCCTCCCTCTCTCGCCCGCTCTCCCTTTCTCTCGCTCTCTCTCTCTTACTTTAACTCACTTACTCCCTCCCTCTCGCCCGCTCTCCCTTTCTCTCTCTCTCTCTCTTACTTTAACTCACTTACTCCCTCCCTCTCTCGCCCGCTCTCTCTTTCTCTCGCTCTCTCTCTCTCTTACTTTAACTCACTCCCTCCCTCTCTCGCCCGCTCTCCCTTTCTCTCGCTCTCTCTCTCTTACTTTAACTCACTTACTCCCTCTCTCTCTCGCCCGCTCTCCCTTTCTCTCTCTCTCCCTTTCTCTCTCTCTCTTACTTTAACTCACTTACTCCCTCCCTCTCTCGCCCGCTCTCCCTTTCTCTCGCTCTCTCTTTCTCTTACTTTAACTCACTTACTCCCTCTCTTTCTCGCCTGCGACTGGTTCAGATATCCACCACTGCTGTTGGCCATGAATGGGAGTCGAACTCGTGTGGGCGGATTCGTAGCGCAGTGCGCTGACCACTGCACCACCACTCCTCCAGTAGTGGTAGCGCTGATGATGTCAATGATCCCTGCTACTCCAGATGCCCTTACTGATGCTGGTGATAATGATGACGTTGCTGATGACGATTCTGCTGCTGATGTTGCTTCAGCTGCTGCTGATGATGCTGCGGATGATGATGTTGCCGATGATGATTCTGCTGCTGATACTGGTGACGATGCTGCTGCTGCTGATGATGCTGCTGCTGCTGCTGATGATGATGTTGACGAAGGTGAGCACACACACACACACAAGGAGGAAAGACGACAGCAAGAAGAGCGTTCACCTTCGCTCGCTGGTTCTGGAACCAGACTTGAACGACTCGCACGCTGAGCCCCGTCTCGGCCGCCAGCGTCTCCCGGACCTGGCAACGTGGACATGACACGCAGCGAGACGTTGACGAGGGTTGAAGCGGTGGTGGTGGTGGTGGTGGGGTTGGTGGTGCAGGCGCGCGATGGCTGTGCGACACGTCACTGTGACCGTCATCATCGTCGTCGTCACGTCGTTAAAAAAGAGAAATACAGGAGCACGATGTGGAGCTCTCCAGACCGTGTGCAGGAAGAGGAGGCGCATTTATTACGTGGAGAGGGAGATAAGGGGGGTGGCAGTGAGACGAGAGGGGAGAGGTAGGAGAGTGAGTGGAGGCGAGTGGAGTGAGACGAGAGGGGAGAGGCAGGAGAGAGCGTGGAGGGGAGTGGAGTGAGATGAGAGGGGAGAGGCAGGAGAGAGCGTGGAGGAGAGTGGAGTGAGATGAGAGGGGAGAGGCAAGGCAGTGCATGGAGGAGAGGGAAGTGAGATGAGAGGTAGGAGAGAGCGTGGAGGGGTGTAGAGTGAGATGAGAGGGGACAGGCAGGGAGGGGTGGTCCGTCAATGATCGCAGATACGGTCGGCATGATGTTTACAAAACAAATATAAACTATGAGCTATTTTTATTTTACTAGCTAAGGCCCACTGACCGATTTCGCTCTTTTCCAGAAGCGACTAGGCCACAAAGCATAGCTCAACGAAGTGGCTTATCACATGGAAATGTATAGCATCCAAATACCCTAAACGCACATTGATTCTAAACGTGGAGGGGAAAAGCTGGAGGGCCTGCAGAAAAATCCACGCGACCACGCGGAGAGACACGCAAACTCCAAATATACAGCAGCAGGCGTCAGGGGTCAGGATCGAACCCACGACCTCCTGTACACCAGGCGAGGTAGTTAACATCTCCTAACCACCGTGATGATGATGATGATGAGAGAGAGAGACACGCAAACTCCAAATATACAGCAGCAGGCGTCAGGGGTCGGGATCGAACCCACGACATCCTGTACACCGGGCGAGGTAGTTAACATCTCATAGCCACCGTGGTGCCCAAATCGATGCGGCACTGTATTGAAATCGGAGCGTCGTGTGTGTGTGCCGGTGATGTGGTCTCGGTTTTGCAGACGAGGGATATCGTGGTAGGGGGCCCCGGGGGGTGGGTGGCTATCGACGTCATTGATTCAGCACCACGGACAGCGCCACCAGCACCGCCAGCACCATGGACAGCGCCGGTGTGCGATGGGCATTGGGCTCGACTCCATGCTGTTTGAAAGCTGACGGCTTAAGGTGAGCAGCAGCAGCAGCGACAGGAAGGGAGGGGAGGGAGGGAGGGAGTGAGGGGAGGGAGGGGAGGGAGAGGAGGAATGAGGCCAAATCTGCATTTGTTGTCCACACTATTAGCCATGCAGCATCATCGATTCTACTTTAATGGTCCTGTAGCCCTACGCTTCCTATTCATTAATACTCACAGTTAATTTAATTCTGTTTCTGCACTGCTCATTTAGACAGTGAAGATCAAGATAACCTTAAAAAGGAAGAGGAGGACGAGGAGGAGGAGGAGGAAAAGGAGGAGTAAGAGGTTGGAGGAGTGAGACGCGAGGAAGAGGAGGATGAGTTAGACACGAGGAAGAGGATGAGGAGGTAGAGAAGGAGGAAGAAGCAAGGAGGAGAAGGACAAGGAAGATGAGAAGGAGGAGGAAGTTGAAGAGGAGTAGTAAGATGAAGAAGAGGAAAATGAAGATGAAGTGGAGGAAGCTGAAGAATCACGTTGTTTTATTTTTTTACCTACGTGACTTTACCGAATAGAACCAAAGAGCGTGGATCCTTGCAGTCACGGAAGCTTCAAATCTAGAACAAAAGCTGAAGAAGATGAAGAGGAAGAGGGGGAGTTGGTGGCGTGACCGCCCGCACCTTCCGGCAGGGCTTGGAGGAGACCTCGAAGGAGGCTTTGAACGCGCGCCGCTGCTGCGTGGTGAGGATGGTGCGAGGCCGCTTGGGCCGCTTCGCCTCCTTGCCGTCGTCGTTCTTGCCGTGGCTCTGCCCTCCGATCGCCTTCACTCCGCCCTCCTCGTCCTCACTCTTCACTGCGGGGCCCGAGGGGCGGGAAGGAGTGGAAGGGGGGGTAGGGGTAGGGGTGGCGGACGGAGATCGAGATGCGCGTCAATCGGTGACGGATTTGGGACTACAACATTTTTGTGAAGGCGCCAGGGCGGGCCCCCAGGTCGCCGTGAGCTTCCTCATCGGTGCCATCATTTAGAGCTGGCTCCAAATACGAAAAAAAAATCAGCCGGAGAGGAAGAATCTTTTTGGGCTGCCCCGGATGCATTAGGGGGAACTTGACGCCATGTGAGAGGGTAAATACGCGATTCCACGTACACGTTAGAGTCGCTAAAAAGAAAATAAAGTAATACTACTTATTTTCGTTTTACCCCGATCACATTCGCAACGTCGCCACGCAGCGACCCGACGCCACGCCGGCTCTCGGGATCGACTCGGCCCCGTCGGTCATTCGCCCCTCGGGACTGCTGCTACCTCGTGGCCCAGCCGGGGGGCCTGCGCACGAGCGTGTGGCCTGCTGGAGGCCCCGAGCGTGTGGCCTGCTGGAGTCCCCGAGCGTGTGGTCTACTGGAGGCCCCGAGCGTGTGGCCTACTGGAGGCCCCGAGCGTGTGGTCTACTGGAGGCCCCGAGCGTGTGGCCTACTGGAGGCCCCGAGCGTGTGGCCTGCTGGAGTCCCCGAGCGTGTGGTCTACTGGAGGCCCCGAGCGTGTGGCCTACTGGAGGCCCCGAGCGTGTGGTCTACTGGAGGCCCCGAGCGTGTGGCCTACTGGAGGCCCCGAGCGTGTGGTCTACTGGAGGCCCCGAGCGTGTGGCCTTCTGGAGGCCCCGAGCGTGTGGCCTGCTGGAGTCCCCGAGCGTGTGGCCTACTGGAGTCCCCGAGCGTGTGGCCTACTGGAGTCCCCGAGCGTGTGGTCTACTGGAGGCCCCGAGCGTGTGGCCTACTGGAGGCCCCGAGCGTGTGGTCTACTGGAGGCCCCGAGCGTGTGGCCTTCTGGAGGCCCCGAGCGTGTGGCCTACTGGAGGCCCCGAGCGTGTGGCCTACTGGAGGCCCCGAGCGTGTGGCCTACTGGAGGCCCCGAGCGTGTGGCCTACTGGAGGCCCCGAGCGTGTGGCCTACTGTAGAATCGAGCGTGTGGCCTACTGGAGGCCCCGAGCGTGTGGCCTACTGGAGGCCCCGAGCGTGTGGCCTACTGTAGAATCGAGCGTGTGGTCTACTGGAGAATCGAGCGTGTGGTCTACTGGAGGCTCGAGCGTGTGGCCTTCTGGAGGCCCCGAGCGTGTGGCCTGCTGGAGTCCCCGAGCGTGTGGTCTACTGGAGGCCCCGAGCGTGTGGCCTACTGGAGGCCCCGAGCGTGTGGTCTACTGGAGGCCCCGAGCGTGTGGCCTTCTGGAGGCCCCGAGCGTGTGGCCTGCTGGAGTCCCCGAGCGTGTGGTCTACTGGAGGCCCCAAGCGTGTAGCCTGCTGGAGGCCCCCGAGCCCATGTCGCGGGCGGGCGGGCGGGCGGGCGAGCGGCGTACCCGAGTCCGAAGGCGCGGGGCTGAGCGAGCTGAGCATGTCGCGCTCCTTCTCGTAGTCGGAGCGGCAGAAGAGCTGCCCCTCCTTCAGCACGAACTCGTCGCCCTTCTGCAGCCGGCGGTCGCACACGCAACAGCAGAAGCAGCCCAGGTGGTAGACGCTCTCCAGTGCCCGCATCACCAGCTCGGTGGGCGCGATGCCCTCCAGGCAGCCGCTGCATTTGGTCACGAAGAGCCTGGACACGTGGCGTGGCGTGGGGGGGAGGATGTGGAGGAGGAGGAGGATGTGGAGGAGGATGTGGAGGTGGTGGAGGGATGGATAGGAGGTGAGGGAAGAGAGGGAGAGGAGGGGTGTGAGAGTGGGAAGACGTGGAGAGGAGGAGGTGGTGGTTGAGGAGGAGTGAGGTGGAAGGGAGGTAGATGATGATGAGGAGGGGGAGGAGGTGTGAGAACGTGGCTCTATTAATGTGGCGAGTGGTTAACCGCTCGTTTGACAGAATTCAGTCTCACATCAGCCTAAGGTGCAGCGTGGGGTCCCCTCCCCAACGATCCGTGCAATGCGGAGGAGGGGGGCTGGGGGTACTCGGGGGGGGGGGGCTGGGGGGCTGGAGGGGTTGGGGGGGGGCTGGGGGGGGCTACCCACTCCACATGGGCTGAGCAGGCAAGACCAGCGGGTAGAGCGGAGCAAGTTGGAGAGTGGGCGGTGGGGGGGGGGTGTTTCTATCTTCCTGAGATTCAATTCTAGATTTGAAGCTTTCGTGACTGCAAGGATCCATACTCTTTGGTTCTATTCGGTAAAGTCACGTAGGTAAAAAAAAATAAAACGACAAAAATCACGACGTTTCGGCCACAACACAAGCGGCCTTCATCAGGTGAAGGGACCAGCCTGTCTCGAAACGTCGTTATTTTTGTTGTTTTATTTTTTTTCCTGAGATTCGTTGGAATGGCTGAGGTTTTAAAAAAAATAGAAACGAACCCCCCTAAACTCCACCCCGAAGCAAAATGCTTGCGTCTCTGGATCTCCCCGCCTGGGGATTAACACCTCACATTCGTCTTTGCTCTCCATCTCTATATTATTTGGGGTTTTCGGTAAAGTCACGCAGATAGGTTCGAAGAAAATAAGTAAATAAAAATCTGCGACGTTTCGATCGCAACGCCAGTGTTACAGCAAACACACCGACTGTGTGTTCGTCTAATTCTAGCTTATTTGTGGCATGGCACAGCGAGGCGGGTGCCTCTCTCCTGTTCGTATCTCTCTCGCTCAGCCGAATCTCGCCAGGGGTAACAGACTTGGTGCATCTCCTGCGGTGCCAGGGAGGATCTGGCCCCATCGGTACTCACGCTGCCAGCGGCTCAAACTCAATGTTCCGCCTTTTGGGGGACATCTTCAGGAAACTGGGGAGGTGCCCCTTCTACAACAGCGGCTTCGTATATGGGGGGGTTGGTGCCTTGCCTGGCTAACAAGCGCCATGACCTCGCCAACTTCCCACTGTGCTCAGGCGAAGTTGGCGGTGTTACAGAACGAGGAGAGAAGACGCCGCAAGGTGACACTGACGGCTGCTCTGTGCTGCTTCCAGTGTCCAGGGGGGGGGGCCTGCTCAAGGCGCGGCTCCGGCTGGAGCACGCCACGTACCACACACACGTGTCGGTGATGTGCAGCGCGTCTTCCTCGAACGCTGGGGGGCCGGACAAGCCCCCCTCTGTTACCAACGTGGACGGCACCCCCCACGTGTTCACGTTCTGAAGCGCTCGCTCGTCACCGTGGCGTGCGCGATGAACACCACCACCACAACCACAACCACCGCCACCACCACCACCATCACCACCACTGCCACCACCAACACCACTACCACCATGTGGCTTTTATTTCGTGTTGTGCGCGGTGCATTTAGCGCCACAGCGCGTGGATTCATAGCGATTATTTGTGTTGCTGGTGACTTTGTGTGTTTCGTACCGGAATCGCCCCCAGTGCTGTTGCTACTGACGGCAATGAAAGTTGTTTAAAAAGTCAAAAGTCTCTCTGTCTCTCTACAGAGTTGTGTGTGTGTTTTTACAACTCCCGCCCTCCACCCCCCGCTCGCAAAGACACAACCCCTAATGAATGACACGTGGGTGGGATGGTGACCCAGGGTGCTTACCGCTCCGGTACCATTGAATTTAATTGAAACGGGCTAAGGCGAAGGCGCAGCCCCTGCAACTGCCCGCTCACGCCCAACACAGAATGTTAATATAATATTATTATTTTACTCGAGGAATCCGATGAGCTATGAAAGCTCTTTTACCCCCCCCCCCCCCCAAAGATGTCACGTGGCAAAAAGTAACTGCTGGCGCGGAGGTGTGCCTCCTCCCGCCCCTCGAGCGAATTCCACAGCGCTTGGCCTACTCTTCCACATCCACCGGCACCTACCTGGAAGGCAACCGGCAGGGTCGTGTGAGGTGCCCACACTTCACCCCACGGTGTGAACCCCGTGGAGGGATTTAAGTAAACGCCGTTCAATAAAAAAAAATTTTACACGGTGCGAGCTCTGGCAACCACACCCCCCCACACCCCCCCCCACACCCCCCTCCTCCTCAGACGCTTCTTTGAGGTGCAACAATGAACGAAGGAGACATCACGGCGATGATGGTGACGACGCGACCACACCGCTGGCTCCGACTGACACGTGGTCATCGCCGGGGGGGGCCTGACTCACCTGGACGTGACTTTGTACGTTTGTTGGCTCTGCGTCTACATCAGCGGTCGTACGATAGAAGAAGAGGAGGGTCATGGGAATCCCATAGAGATCCAGACTAATAGAGACCCACAGAGACTCATAGATACACCATAGAGATCCAGACTAATAGAGACCCACAGAGACTCATAGATACTCATAGAGATCCTGACTAATAGAGACGCTCAGAGACATCACAGAGATCCATAGACTCACAGGGAACCCATATAAACGCATGGACTAATATAGACGCACAGAGACTCATAGATACCCATAGACATCCAGCCTAATAGAGACGCACAGAGACTCATAGATGCACCATAGAGATCCAGACTCATAGAGACTCACAGAGACTCATAGATGCACCATAGAGATCCAGACTCATAGAGACCCACAGAGACTCATAGATACACCATAGAGATACAGACTCATAGAGACCCACAGAGACTCATAGAAACCCATAGAGATCCAGACTAATAGAGACCCACAGAGACTCATAGATACTCATAGAGATCCAGACTAATAGAGACCCACAGAGACTCATAGACACCCATAGAGATCCAGACTAATAGAGACCCACAGAGACTCATAGACACCCATAGAGATCCAGACTAATAGAGACCCACAGAGACTCATAGACACCCATAGAGATCCAGACTAATAGAGACCCACAGAGACTCATAGACACCCATAGAGATCCAGACTAATAGAGACCCACAGAGACTCATAAATACTCATAGAGATCCTGACTAATAGAGACCCACAGAGACTCATAGACACCCATAGAGATCCAGACTAATAGAGACCCACAGAGAATCATAGATACCCATAGAGATCCAGACTCATAGAGACCCACAGAGAATCATAGATACCCATAGACATCCAGCCTAATAGAGACGCACAGAGACTCATAGATGCACCATAGAGATCCAGACTCATAGAGACTCACAGAGACTCATAGATACCCATAGAGATCCAGACTCATAGAGACCCACAGAGACTCATAGATACACCATAGAGATACAGACTCATAGAGACCCACAGAGACTCATAGAAACCCATAGAGATCCAGACTAATAGAGACCCACAGAGACTCATAGATACTCATAGAGATCCAGACTAATAGAGACCCACAGAGACTCATAGACACCCATAGAGATCCAGACTAATAGAGACCCACAGAGACTCATAGACACCCATAGAGATCCAGACTAATAGAGACCCACAGAGACTCATAGACACCCATAGAGATCCAGACTAATAGAGACCCACAGAGACTCATAGACACCCATAGAGATCCAGACTAATAGAGACCCACAGAGACTCATAAATACTCATAGAGATCCTGACTAATAGAGACCCACAGAGACTCATAGACACCCATAGAGATCCAGACTAATAGAGACCCACAGAGACTCATAGATACCCATAGAGATCCAGACTCATAGAGACCCACAGAGACTCATAGATACCCATAGAGATCCAGAGTAATAGAGACCCACAGAGAATCATAGATACCCATAGAGATCCAGACTCATAGAGACCCACAGAGACTCAGAGATACCCACAGAGATCCAGACTCATAGAGACCCACAGAGACTCATAGACACCCATAGAGATCCAGACTAATAGAGACATCACGACGACGACGACGATGATGACACAACTACTCCGCTGTTATTGACGCGGCTGTCTGTGCTGTTGGCTCTGCGTCGACACCAGCAGCCGTGATGCGGAAGGGAGAATCCGATCAAGGAAGAAGAGAGAAGAAGGAGAGGAAGGGGAGGTGGAGGAGGGAGGAGGAGGAGGAGGGGGAAGGAGGGGAGGGGAGGTGGGAGGAGGGGAAGGATTCAGGAGGAGGAGGGGGGAGGAGGGAGGAGGAGGGGGGGAGGAGGGAGGAGGGGGGAGGAGGGAGGAGGTGGAGAGAGGAGGGAGGAGGAGAAGCAGGAAGGAGAGAGGAGGGGTGAGGAGGGAGGAGGGGGGAGGAGGAGGAGCAGGGGGAGGAGGGAGGAGGCGGGGGGGAGGAGAGAGGAGGGGGAGGACGGAGGAGGAGGGGTGAGGCGTGAGGAGGAGGGGGGAGGAGGGAGGAGGGGGAGAGAGAAGGGGGGGAGAGGGGGAGGAGGAGAGAGGAGGGAGCAGGAGGTGCGAGGAGGGACAAGGGACAACAATAATAATAATATCCATTCAATAACCCGGCTTGACTGCTAACATCAGCCTAGTCCGCTCATATGGTCTGCGGTGCCCCTTAAACTCCCCAGATATTGCCAATAAGTCTCGCTGCACCTTTCGGGGGGCTGAGGGGGGTGGGGGCTGGGGGGGGGGGGTGGGGCTGGGCGGGGATGACCCCGGCGATCCTCCTTTGGGGATCCAGGAGTTTAACAACAGAACAAACCGCACCGCTGACATTTCACCTCTCAATCATCTAAGCAGAGAGAGAGAGAGCGAGAGCGAGAGAGACGGAGGTGAAAGCAGCGTGAAAGATGGTCTCTATTGAATCCAGATCGACACACCGGGGGGGGAAGGGC